AACCAATTGGATACACAAAACTTCAGGGTGCACACTTGAAATTATATGAAATTTTTATGAATACTATGGAAATTTAAGGGGAGCAGTGGGGCCCGTGCCCCAGTGCCCCCACTGTAGATCCGCCCCTGGGAGGCAAACTTAACATGTGAAGTTATGCCAATCAACAAATATAAAAAATCTTCAAGAACAAAACAGTCAATACTTGTTTGTTCTCCTATTTCCAGCCTGAATAGGTAACAATATAAGCAAAATGCAGCATGTTTTTTCAAAATTATACTCCCGTGAAGTTTTACAAGTGAAGGCTTAAAGCATATACACTTTGGTAATATTCACTAACAATGGGGGCAAAGTGATAAGATCTTACAGATAAATTATAAACTTAGATCGGGTCAGTATGGGCAATTGCCCCTACTGCTCCCATGCCATCCTCGTCTCTGATATGGTACCTCCTCATTATTTTGACATCCACCAATAGAATTATTTCAAATTTTAATGCAATGAAACACTTGCAATTCCCTGGGATTTTTTTAGGTGTGCCTAATAATCACTATTACAGCGAACACAGTATTTAGATGTTGGTTTTTTAGATGTTTCTGGATAAAACATGGAGGTGAATCCCATAAGATTCAACAAAGCTAAAGAATTAGGCTATGGAATTCAACAAAGCTACAAGTTTTGGCGTAACAAGCCAATTCAGGAGCTACAGTTTTTGCCACCGATTCAGATCCATATCTGTAGCATCAGACACAAACCTTTGGAATATACTCTACTACTGGTCCCATTGTTGAAAAATCATCATCGTCACTATTCAGGAGCTGAATAACCAATTAAGAGTCTCCTTCAAGTGTACACTTTAAAATTGATAGGTGTCCAACTTGTGAAATAATAAAATTCTATTCAAAAAAATATATTATTGAGTATAGTGGTAAGTAGGATCATTTCTACAGGAATTAGGAGAAATTAGCTTCCTTCCAAGTAAGAATTAAGTGGGGGGTTTGGAAAATTAAAATAAATAATCACCGTAAACAAAAACAATTAACTGCATAGAAATTAAATTTAAATCAATAATAAGCAAGCTCTAGCCAAGGAGAAAACTTCGGAAGTGGTTCACCCAACTGCTCATCAATGATAATTTCATTTATTCATTAACAAATAAGTTATAATTACCAAACAAGCGATGGCAATTAGTTTTTCCATATTGTGCTGATAGTTAAGGTATACCTGTTAACCGTTTTCCTAATCAAGAAATAGTCCTAGGTATGACTATAAAATTTAATTTTCTGAGTGCATTAAAAACTAGAGAAACCCTGTTCTAATCAATAAACATGCTATGAGGGTTTATTTAGATTATATTATATGTTTCTCTAATATGAAATCAATCACGCCAATTACCACTAATTTAAAATAATTAAATAATTACGAATTTAACTATCTTAATTGGCATTAGATTGTTAAGTTGAATTAAATATTGGACCATTCATATTCAAACAACAATGAGAAATCAAATCAGGAAACATACAAATATTAACGAATAAAAGAAATGGATAAATATAATTCAATTTCATAGTTGTAGTTGAACCAAATCCTTGTTACCCTTGACTAAAATAAGAAAATTAATTGCTCTTCATTGAGAAGAGTCCACGCAATTTCCTTGATGAAAGTTGCATACACCGTTTGTCTATTAAAAAAACAAAAGAAAAGAGAAGTTCGTCTCCTTTTTATTGCGAAGACCAATAGCCAACTAAAAGCCAGAGGCCGACGTCCTAATCCTTTTTTGGTTTCTACTTATCAATCTCCTAAAAAGAGATTGATCCCTACTCCTCCTAGGAAAATACATAACTCTTTCCTAACCAGACAGCGATACAAATTGATAAGAGTAAGAGTCTGCCCACTCTAGCCAAGCACCCAATTAGAAGTTGATTTGAAATAGAAAACTCCTTTGTCGATTAGGATCTTGAACTTCCGGACTTAGATAGATACTTGACTTAGGCGTGCTCACGCTGATCAGGTCAGGAGTCCTCTGCTGAAAAGTTTCTTCAAGACCCCTTTTTACTCTTTTTCACTCCAAAGTTCTACAATCAATATCAATTGCCAAACTTAAGTAGAATCAATTCAATAATGTAATATTTAGCCAAAATTACGAAAAAAATATTTACAATTTCGCTCGCTAATATGCACCCTATAAAAAATGAACAGATTTTTTTGCAGCATTAATTAGTATGTATGTTCTCAAACTAATCTACTTTCAGGGATTTGTTTTGTACTCTTATATTAGTGCATTCATATGAATGACATCTTTGTTATTTTGATTACGCATGTCTTACATTTGAATAATAATGTCTTTAGAGTAAATCTAATTGATGAAATCAAAGAGGTTATGATGATGAGATTTAATCAATTACTATTAAGGTTTATTTTTAAATATTTTTAGTTATAGTATTTACAATATAGGACATCGTTAATATGATCATAGATTATCATATATTAAGTCTCTTATATAAGTAGTAGATCTCATCTACTATTATGTGTAACATCTAAATGATTAAGATAAGGATTAGAGGACTTAGGAGAAGGAAAACCTTTCATTCTAAGTAGTTTCACAATCAAATTACTCTTAAAAAAAATTGTGAGCTTTTCCCTCTAATTTTGCCACTATGCACTCCCATATTTTAGCATTGTCTCCTGCATTTTCATGCTCATTCTCCATTAATTTAATTCACCAAGGTAGCCCTGGTATAATCTCCAACGAATGATGACATATTTGTTCATCTATCCATTTACATCCAGACCTTAAATAATAGTACACAAACAACAATTACTACTAATTAGTTGAGTACACTCAAATCTAACTCCTCCGTTACCTCAAGAAGTGAGCACTCAGCATGTCTTCGACCAAGATTCCATGGAGTCCACAATGTTCTCACAATGCTATTCAACTCACAGTCAACAATGCTTTTGGGTTCTTCTCCCTTGTTCTTTCACCTTGGAGCTCCAACAATGAAAAGGCTCTAATTTTAGAGGGATTTGGTGAAAGAGATGGTACTTATCTCCTTTTAATTATAGTCTAGATCTGCTACAAGATGGTTGGACAAAAATGCCCTTTTGATTTCAAGAGCATTAATGACTGAACTAGCCGCAAGTACTTAAAGTATACATTTTTTTATGTTCAGGGAGTGCTTTAAAATAAAATTTAGATTATGGGCCAAAACTTGGGAGGATAGTTTGAGGACTCCCTAGGTACTTTAATCTACTTAAAATTAATTGAAGGAGAGTTAAATGTAGAAATGGATAAAACTCCAGTAATCCATTGACCCATTAATTCTCTTCAACTAGGCATACCAAATAGGAGAAAGAAAATGATTAATTAAAACAAGAACTCTCTCTCTCTCTCTCTCTCTCTCTCTCTCTCTCTCACACACACACACACACACACACATATATATATATATATGCAAATTAATTTTGTATCTTAAGTTATCAATTTTAGGTTTTGAATTTAGGAGGAATTAATTATGTTCTGGTACCAAAATTGGGTGGGCACAACCTAATGGGTTGTGTGGGTCAAGAAATGGCCTAATCGGGTTCCGAAATGTTGTATGTTTGAGATCCTTACAGAATTCAAGTTAGTAAAGGACTCCAGGACTCTAGTCTCCAGCCCAATCAGGACCATCCTAGAACAAACTCAATCCAAAGTGTAAGAGGTCATTCTTCTTTGTTTTGACAGGTGAAGTGTCCTAATTTAATTTCTAAAACAATTCTAGTTTCTTTTTCTGTTGCAATTATTATTATTTTTTATATGCCCCGGGATACAGCTAAATGGCATACTTTATGTAGCTTGGTGACTCGGACGATTTTGCATTTGGTTAATTTATTATGTAAAGCAAGGTTGGTCAGTCAGTTGAGAGTGGAAAAAATTTATGAGATATATAATTCGGGTGAAAGTCTTCCAGATTTGGTAAGTTTTTTGGGAAGCAGAACTTCTCCTCCTTGTTTTACCCTCCAAAATCACATGGGCCTCTATTACAGCATTTTGTAGAAGTTTCTTGGTTTTCTTGCGCAATTTCACAGAAACTCAAAGGTGAACTCAATTACCATAAAAGAAAAAGATCTCAATTTCCAAGAAATATCCCCCAAAAAAATAAGTCAACCAACATAAACTATATTTTCTCAGAAAAGAAAATTTGAAAGTTACTTTCGTATAATTCATAATCCAACTTGAATTGTTATTGCAATGTGAAAGAAAAATTAAGGATGCTAACAAGGAATATTGGCAAGGAGAGCAGTATCATGGAACTTGCATCTTCAAGACTTCTCTCAAGGCTATATTTGTTCTGCTATAAACCCCATCAAGCACAAGTTTGAGCCGATTTGGTAGTTAGAATTAAGGCGATGTCTTGATTTGTTTATTTAACATAAAATTTCTCCTTCTTGTTTTACCTCCAAAATTACATGACCCTCTATTATATTATGTAGAAGTTGCTTTTCCGTGCTATTCTTTCGCAATTTCATTATTTCGTAGAAACTTAAAGGTGAAATCAATTATCAAGAAATATCCCCAAAAAAAAAAAAATCTAACCAATATTAATCATATGTTCTAAGAAAAGATAACTTGAAAGATACTTGCTTGTAATTCATAACCCATGGTGAATTGTTATTACAATGTGAAACTAAAATGGAAGCATGCAAACACGGAATATTAGCATGTAGTGCAATATCATGGGACCGTATTAGCACAAAAAAAAAAAAAAAAACGCAGTGAAAGCAATTTTAACACATATAAAAATGTATGGAAAGAGAAGGACAATAAATATACAATAAATACTCAATAATTTTATTAACACAAAATTTAATAATAACAATATCAAGTCGTAATTTTTTGCTTAGATAAGTCACAAATCTCAACTTAGAAGCTTTCCCTCAAACTGGTTTTTTAAAACTCGATTTGACTCAACTCAACTTGACTTGACTCTTCAAATAATAATAGCTTAGTTTAATTTCCATCAGGCTTGCTTCCAAGCCTCTCTCAAGGCGATATTTGTCTTGCCATAGCCCCCATCAAGCATAAGGTTGAGCCCACTCACATACTTAGATTCATCACTTGCTAGAAATACTACTGCCTGTGCTACATCCTCAACCTCAAATACCGAATGTTTCAAATTTGCTGCCTGGTAAAACCATCCCTCTGCCTTCTCCTTTTCCACATTTCCAAATTGCCTCGTCAGCAATGGAGTTGGCAGGGCAAAAGGAGAAACACAATTGACTCTAATCCCATGTTGGCCTAATTCCACGCACAAGCTTTCACTAAGCCCTAAAAGGGCTTTCTTAGTCGTGGCATATACATGAGTCGCATCTCCGGCTGTCGCTGCACTAGAAGTGAAAATGATGCTTCCTTTCTTAGCAGGGATCATGACTTTTGCTGCATGTTTGGCACACATGAACGCACCGAAGACGTTAACGTTGAAAACCCTCCTGTAATCATCGTAGCCGACATCCGATATGTTCTTACAGTTGTCGATGATGCCTGCGTTACTGAACATTATATCAAGCTTCCCGTGCTTGGCTATGGCTGTCTCCACTGCATTTTCGACATCAGATTCGTTGCTAACATCACAATGGACGTAAGAAACAGCTTCCTTGCAGCCAAGATCTTCGCATAAGGCGCGGCCGAGTTCATCTTGGATATCAGCTATGATAACTTTTGCACCATGATGGACAAATAGCCTTGTGGTGCTTTCACCAATGCCGCTGGCTCCACCAGTGATTATTGCTACCTTCCCTTCTAGTCTTCTGGTGCTGGTCAAAGCCATTGAAGAAGAGTCTCCTATTTCACTTTTCTGTAATTCAAATTTCCCTATGAAAATGCCAATGGATACACGATGAGATCTATTTTATAGAGACCAGATCTGTTTTTTCCGCTGAAAGATAGTTAAAGAATTCAATTTCTTATTAGTTGTTGATGGGTTGTTAATATTTATTTAAATGGAACATTCACAGAAAACAATGTGGCCTTGTACCAGTTGACTTGAAGATGGCCACTATGAAAATGCCAAGAATACACGATGAGATCTGTTTTGTACCGACCAGATCCCTTTTTTTCTGCTGAAAAGATAATTAAATACTTTAATTCCTTATCAGTTATTGATGGGGTGTTAATATTTAAATGGAGCATTGACAGGAAACAAAGCGGCCTTGGATCAGTTGATTTGAAGATGGCCACTATGAAAATGCCAAGGGATACACGATACGATCTGCTGAGCAATCAGATCTGCTTTTCGCTGAAAGATAATTAAAGAATTTAATTTCTTATTACTTATTGATGTGGTGTTAATATTTAAATGGAACATTCACAAGAAAACAAGGAGTCCTTGTATCTGACGGGCTTTTTATATACGTGCAAGTTAAAAAATTCGATTTACACCCGTTTCACTGCAAGTATACATGTCAACTAGTAGTTTAGGGTATATATCGGGTCAATCCCACAAAAAAGATTGCAATTACCGGCACTACTAAAACTTCTCTATTATTTAGACTATCAATGAATTATAACAAGTAAAACCTACTGCACTTATACAAAAAAATAACAATTGAAAACTCTTTAGATTGTGGTATCCCTAACTACTCATGCAAGTGCTATATTTGGATCATTGAATACTACTATCTAGGCTACTTATGGTGTAATTTTCTCATGCATATGAAACCTACTTTCGTAGTGAATCAACTATACTCATAACTAATCCATACCCATTCTCATGGTTTTGAATTTCTTCAATGAAATTACATGAAATTAATCACTAAAACCACATAGGTGCACCTCTACTCTCGTGAGTGTGCTCCCTATGTTTAGCACTTCTTGAACCAGTGTTAAATCTCAATTTTCACTGCTGAAACAACACCTTAGATAATCACAACTAATGGTACCAGATTAATCATGATTTTAAAGAGTTAAAGTGCTAAATAACTTGCTCAAATCATAGCAATCAAATAGCTAAATAATAAACACTAACAATCATAGAAAGTTTAACCAAACCCACGGCATAAACTTTAAAGACACATATTGAACACAAAATCCAGAACTTGCACATTAACTATACTTAAGAATTTGATATAAAAGATAAAGAGTTGGAGAAGAGATAACCCATGTCACTTGAGCTTCAATTCCTCCTTTTTCATCTCCATCTTCATCCTAATCTAGCCAATATACAAGAGTGGATGAACTATACTAGTCTATCCTAAGCTAACCTAATACTCAGAAGATGAAAGAGCTACATTTCTGCACTATCCAAGTTCTCCTGTATGTCTCTCTATTTTCTTTCAATCTTGCAAATTTTGGCTATATAAAGATGAAAGAAGTCAAGAAAATGAGGTCTACACCACCCTTTTATAGCTGCAAAGTAGTTCTCACATGTCTGGCATTGCATGTGACTTGTTGGAGGTGAAATTGAGTTTTTCGCATAAAGAACAGCCTTCTCTGACCACAATCCGGCCAAGTTTCGGCCGGATTGCTACAGTGACATTTAGGTGCACTTTTATTCAATTTTCAACTCTGCTCTGATTTTGTATCCACTTCAACTGAACTTTTCTTGATGATAAAAGCTGATTTAGCTCTTGACTAGAACATGAAACTTGTAGCCCTTTGAGTTAGCTTTCCAATGCATGAAGAATCACCTCATTTGGATCTGTGTATGTTGAGAAATGACCAAAATACCCTTGACTGCTCATTACCCTGTTTCAGTTTCGACCAATAGAAATTGGCTACTGTAATTCGGCTTTTTGACCTAAAAAACCTTCAAACTGAATTTAGATGTCTCACCAAAGTTGTAGATCTATCTCTTATCTTCAAATTGGTTTAAGAATCATCTCAATATGATCACTGTAGCTCAAGTTATAGCCAAAATACGAAAATGTGTCAAAACTGTCAAAATACACAAAATCCAAGTAAAAAGTGATAAAAACCTCATTTAACCTCTTAAAAGCATTTTTCACCAATTATAGCCAAAATGATTCATTTTCTTCCAATAATATACCCAAAGTGACTAAAAATAATATAAAAAGTCATACAATTATTACGTAAATTAGTCACTTATCAGTATCAGTTCTTGACTTGAAGATGGGGATACACACGACACGGTGAGATCTGTTTACGAATGTTTTTATGCTAAAATATAATTAAAGATTTTAATTCTTTATTAGTTATTTATGGCATGTCAATGCTTAAATGGAACATCTATACTACATATAAAGGTTGAGGGAGGGGTTTAGGGTTAATATTGGAGTTAACATTTATCACCACTTTACGAACTTCCTTTTTTGATCTTATAAAAGCCACTTTTAAATTAATTACCTATAACTATCCATAACTAATTTTACTTTTAAATATATGTTTTCAACATAATTACCCCTAAACATTATAACTACCAATATAAAATTATTTTATGAAAAATATTTAAAAGATTAAAGTTTGCTTCAGTAATAAAAATTTTACTTAAAATATATGACCATAAATATCATTTTTTTTTGATTGCACACACATTGGATGTACATTGAGCACTAGTTCACATAAAACAAGGAGGCCTTGGATCAGTTGACTTGAAGATGGCCAAGCCCAGCTCCGACCATGATAACAATGAATAATTTTGATTCTTGAATACTTTAGCAACATCTACGTTAAATGTCTAAGTATGAATGTAAGGTTTATGTGATTGTTATGTTCAGTTTTTCAATGTTAAGGTCCTCTCTTTGTCGCTTTATTCCTGTTAAGGTATACAATAACGAAGCCATGTTTCTCTAATCCTAAAACTCATTGTGTAAAGTTCCACAATTACGGTAGCATGTTCATAAATCATAAGTGTCTGGGCTATAACATAAATTTCAGCAATTCTTCTAGCATTCTCAGACATTGCCAGGCATATTTTCGTTGCTGTTGTCTGTTGGGGTACTGGCATGGGAAGGCGGTATATCACACGGAAGCGAATTCCGAAAGAAAAAGTTTCACGAACTAATTTCTGAAAACGAATCAACGATTTGAGAAAACGAGAGAGAACTCTCTAGTTTATTGGAAAATCCAACAAAATTTGATAAATGTTGATGATGAATAAGAACGATCTAGTGCTGTCTATTTGTAGGTTACAAATTTACAACGTTTATTAGCCAAAAGAAAATAAATAAAACACAATAAAAAAGGGCGCATCTCAGCCTGACGAAGACCGGCGCGAAAACTAGCGCTATAGGCGGCGCCGGTCATTGCATAGCTCCTCAGCTCAACAGAAATCAGACGAAGTCCGGTGACTCATCCCCGGATAAATCCGGCGCTGGACGTTGTCTGCTTCACTTCGTTTGGTATCAGTGTAGTTAGTATACTATTTTTTGGTTTTGGCCACAAGTGCCCTCGTATATTCATTTTGCACTGTAAGTTGAAGTGAACTGAAGTTTTGAAATATATATATATATATATATATATATATATATTTTCTATATATTCAAATGTATAATCCTGTGGTCCCTGAAAACTAGGATTTTATTTTTAAGTAAAATTTTATATACAGTGTCAGTGTATACAGTATCACGATTAAATAGATGACGCATGAACAAATTTTGGATTTAAAATTTAAATTTTTGCACATGTATCTAATTATGATAGTATATATACTGACAGTATATATAAGATTTAATCATTTAATTTTCATGTGATTGCGTCATGTTAGTATCTCTGTGTCTCTCTCTCTCCGGCTGCACACACAAACAAATAAAGACAAACAAGCGAACACACGCAGATTTGGAACTTAAATAAAGATCCTATGGCTATTACCATTGAAATAACAATTGTTACATTTCTTTTACCAAGTCCTTACTTTTGAAAGATATAGTGAGTGTGAAGACACAAAATTTTCTCATGCTTAAGGGATAATAGTCATCTGATCATCAAACTGTTTGAAGCCTCCACCATTAACATTTGGATCTTTTTCTATAGCACTAGAAAATAAATGATCTTTTCAAAAACAAAAAAAGAAAAAGGTACATAGACATACACACGTCTGCGCCCGCGCACACATACATATACACATGTAAAATATCTTTGTACAGCACTAGAATATATATGATTTTTTCAAAAAAAAAAAAAGAGAGAAAAAAAACCACACACGCATATATAAGATACTTTCTTTTCACATTTGTATTTGCACATCGCTCACTATAATTTTTGTTATTCTATTCTTGCATAATCAACTTACAAATTCATGTACAGAGATCATAGAAGGAGGAGATAATATTAATAATGTAAAGATGGAAGCCTCAAGAAACCTACCAGCAGAAGCTAAAGCCTAGGAGGCGTTACTGTGGAAGACTATTAGTCAATGTTTCATTTTGTTAATTGTCCTAAATTTATCCAAAATTATAAGTTTTGGAAACTAGATTTATTTTGATCTAAATATTGGAGACCAATTTGGCATGCAGGCCAAATATTAGAAACCAAAATTGCAATTTTCTCTTAAAAAAAAAAGAGAGAGAAAAAATCTTGTAATCGCTACTTAATTCTCTTCTTAAAGGGAACCTTGCTATTAGATGGTTTAGTAGAAAACTCCTACGTGTGGAACTTTTGTAGAAAGTCGAACTGGTGCATTTCTAATCAACTTATGTTGGGACCAAGTACTTGCTGCATTTCTGCAGCCAATTATTCAGGCTGATGCTTGATTTCTCGATTAACGTATTTCTTTTCTTCCTTAAAAATGAAAAACAAAAAACCAAAATACAAGTAGTTTACAGGACCTGGATTGCAAGCTTTTCGCCATGGCTACAATGTTCCTCCTACCTAGGAGCAAAACGTAAACAATCAAAAGGTCGTGTTCGTATGTCCATTGTCTCTCACTAAGGAAAATTAAAGTGCTTTTCGATCAATTACTCGAGGAGAAGTTTTGTGGCCATCATTGAGTAAATATGCTAAGTGGACAATAGGAAAAGACGGTTTCAAAGTTGTGTGTTCCAATTACGCAAGCTCAAGAATATTGAATTAGGCGGCTGCAAAGGTCAAGAGCGTGATGTTTTAGTCAGGAATCTTTAGTAAATACAGTAATCGCATAAGACATATTAAGCATATTAATCATTTAACATTCAGGCATATTAATAAGAATAATAGACAAATTAATAATCATTATAAACTTTTAAATCACAAATTTAGAATAAGAATTGTTGTTTAGATAAACTAAGATGTACGTTACAACAGATGAAATTGTAAAGCACTGAAAAGAAAAGGAAAAAATATAGCTTACCTTGAAACAATGGAACTGGAGAAAGAGTCAATTCTTGAAATAAGTTAAATGGAGTGAGGTAAGATTGATACTTGAATAGAGTTGACACTTGTGATGTTCTTTTTTTTTTTTTTTTTTTACTAATAGTCCTACCCCATATATATATATATATATATATATATATATTTTGTTCAAGTCATTTGTTATGAACAAAATTGTACTAGAGATTAAATTTCATTGTTTATATTTTGTCTCCTATCAGTATAATGTTTCTTTAGTTGCTATTTCAAAATTATGCTAATTATATTTAATAAAGATAAATTAGTGTTTTCTTAGGTACTATTTAAAAGTTAATACCAAATGCTAAACATCTACTAACACTGGAGTAATGCTTCTGATATACTGACAAAAAGAAATAAAGAGTTGAATTTCTACAGGGCACTCTTAGTAAGATAAATTATTTTTTTTTTAAAAAATCATTTGTTGCTATTTCAAATATATCAAA